AAACAACAAAGACAGCAAAGCAATGAGGACACAGATGTCTGGCCTGAGCCCGAGGCTGGAGAGGGCCCTGGACAGAGTGGTCCTGGGCAGGCGGGCGGGTGGCTGTTACGGGAGGGACCTGCTTATCCACTGAAGTGGTTCGGATTTATGACAGAATATCTTTAAAAATCTACGTGATCTTGTTCCCTCTGGTGAGGTGAAGATGTGTGTGGAATGAGGACACCATGGGGTCAGGGCCACTGTGGTGGGGGCACCTTCCATGTCTCTCTCATGTTGTTGGACTCTAGCTCCCAGTGCTTCTCAGATCCTGGTGGCAAAGCCTGGGTAGGAGGCAACCTGGGACCCCAGAAGGACCTGAGAAGTCAGGTCGTCTCCTGCTGTGGACACCAAGTCAGAAGGGAGGGAGGAAAATTGGAAATGTTCATTTGGAGGATAATAACCAGAACAGGAAAGATATTAGAGGATTTGAAAATATGGTGAGGATTCACACTGTGTGAGGGAGAACAGGATCAGCAAATTACAGGTAGGTAATGTCCAAGTAAAAATTGCACCAGACAAAGTTAAACAGGCAGAAAGACTTTATTCAAGACCAGTGCACTAGGAAAGAGAGACTGAACTCAACCCCTGAAACAAAAGGCTGCTGAGATTTTAAGAGCCCGTGGAAGGAATTGTAGGCACTTGTGTTTGCTAACCAGCCTTACTCTAAAGAGAAGTAAAACTTTTCCTAAAATCCTGACAGGAGGTAGTTCTACATCATGCTTGTAAAGGGACCCACCCAAGTTAGGCTCCTGCCCTCCCTCAGAGACTGGAAGGTGGGGGCAAGATCATCCAGGAGGATTACATTTCAAAGGGATGGGCCCAGCCCCTTGGGAAAGACATTCCCTGGAATCTCAAACTAGCAACAAAATTTTGAGGAGACATATATGCCTTTCAAAAGGGCAGAAAAAGAATCTGCAATTACAGACTTCAATTACATTTCTAACAGAAATGCTCTAAGACAATGGAGGCCAGGGGCCTGCAGTCAGGAAGAACTGTCTAAAGTTTAGTGAATCTTTGGGTAACGTGAGGCCTCTACGTCATGACAAAACTGCTTTCTTTACAGTGGGAGAGAAACTCAACTCCATCTCTATCAGCCAAGACCCAGCCTGCATCTCCATCAGTTCCCTGCAATATATAAACGTGCAAAACAGCAGAGAGACAGTGAACAGGGCCAGAATCTGACCATCAGAAGGCTCTGCTTGCTGGACTTTTCCACGGAGACACAACATTTCTCCAACAGTCACTTTCCGTTTCAACAAAGTTCATCTCTAAGGAAGAGTGTTTTTGGTCGTAAAACAAGGTTGCTCTCACTTGATTTGGCCCGATTATTTACACAGGTGCAGCAGGATTGCACACTCACCACAGAGTTTCTCCTCTGATGCAGGTTTTCCTAAGGAGCCTCAGATGGGACTTTTAACAGCCTCTTGACGTTAGGAAGCCTGGACATCAGGACTCACCTGCAGTCTCTAGAGCTTTGAGTGAGGCCCTCTCTTCTCCAGATCCCCAAAATACCCATCAAGTCAACCTTAGCTCCTTGAAGTGTGGGTCATGTCTGATCCCATGGGCGTCATTCTCAACTAGGACAATCGAGTCAAAGCTGTGGTTGCACCACCAATGTTTCCAATGATATCCTAGTAACAAGGAGGACAGAGTCTTACTGAACGTACGCAAATAACTCTATTGCCCTGGAAATAAGAACGCTCAAGAAGACTGTAGGAATTCCTGAGAGGAATCAGACAGGGAGAGAAAGATCAGTATTAACGCCCACATGGATATCCTCCTGTCTATTCCCATTGTTTGTGTCACAGTTCTGGCACCATCCACACCTTCCCCAGAGGAGGGATAGAACTGAGATTCCTAAGAGCTTATCGTGGGCTCCCACCCCTCATTGCACAACCACTGCCTGTCCTTCCACTGGGAAGCTGGTGCAATTGAGACCAACAAGAGCTGGGGACAGGAGTGGCATGTGACCTTAAGCCAACAATAATGAGAATGCCAGTTTACATTGCTGTGCATTTATTGACTCAATGCAAGTCTTCTAAGGACTTTCCATTTTCATCACTGACTATTACAGCAACTCTACTTGAAAAGTGCATCAGATGATCATTTTGCAGATAAGAAAAAAATCTATTTAGAGTTGAATAACATAGAGGAGGGTAAGAGAGCCAGAGGGCCAGACTCATCTTTCACATTGAGCCTGCGGAGGTCACTTTTGCTGGAACTGACCAGGTTGGAGGCCTCCGACTAATAATTCCCAGGATCCTCCATCCTGACGGGGTCTATGGCAAGGGTGCTGTTGTCCTAGGACAGCGTCTTCCTCTCAGTGAGCCACAGACTCTAGTCACTGAGGAACCCCTGGATGGAGATCCCAGTAACATTTGTGAGGCAGGTTAGGACCACTGCAGCTTATGTTCTGTGACTGGGGTCTTTATGTATTATGGTGACTCCGACGATGGCCTTTGACACTGGCTCTGTGAAGAAACAGAGGAGGTGACTGACTGAGAGTGAGCCTGGGGCTTAGGGCCTTGTTCCTTCCTCAGAGATACCAGCCACTCCATAAAGGTGACCCATAGGATGGCCCTGACCCCTGCAGAAGGATGAGTATCGTTGTTCAGGTGACCATCTGTAAGGAGAGGGCTGCACCTCCCCTTTGACCCCCAGATCACCCCAGGGTGACTCCTGACTGTCCCCCTGGACATCTCTGTAGTAACCGCACCAGGAACTTCTTCTCATTTCGCGTGTCCTACAACCTCATCATCACATGAATTTTTCTCTCATGAAATTTCAGTGATTCTTCCCTAGAACTTTCTTTGACTTCAGAAAAGATAAGGCCACATTTCCTATATGCACTTCTGTGTGTGTTGGGGAAAGCACGCTTGCCAGCTCTGTCCATCTCTGGGGCCAAGGGAACATAACATAAAGTGGGAATGCATTTACTTCTTGTTAAGTAATTCATTAGGGAATGAGGATGGCCCACTCAATCCTCACCACCCTCGGACCTGGAAAGCTTCTAATCTAAAGGATTTCTCACTCTGAAAAGGACTTTTAATTCCTGGCCTGGGGATTGAATATCATGGTTTAGGATATCTCTGGTTTTAACAGATGACAGGCACTATTAGGAAGAGAAGGAGACTACTCAATATGACGATGATCATAAATGAAAAGCTCAGAGCTAACATCATACTCAATGGTGAAACACTGAACACTTTCCTCCAAGATTATAAACAAGACAAGGATGCTGCTTTCGCCAGTTCTATTCAACAAGTGGAGGAGTCCTAGTCAGAACAATGAGGCAAGAAGATGAAATAAAAGACATCCCAATGGGAAAGGAAGAAGAAAAATTATCTCTTTTAGCAGAACACATAATCTTATGTGTAGAAAACCCTACAGATTCCCCCACACACAGAAAAACCTGTTAGAACTAATAAACAAAATCACCAAACTTGCAGGAAATAAAATCGACACTCAAAATCAGTTACATGTTTATAGAATAACAATGAACAATCCCAAAACCAAACTGAGAAAACAGTTCCATTTACAATAGCATCAAAAAGAATAAAAAATATAGGAAGAAATTTAACCAAGGAGGTAAAAGATGGGTACATTGAAAACTACCAAATTTCTGAAAGAAATTAAAGAAGACACAAATAAATCGAAAGACATCCATGTTTGTGGACGGAAAAAAATAATATTGTTAAGATGCCAATATACCCCAAACTATCTACATATTTCATATAATCCTTATCAAAATCCCAATGACATTGTTGCAGAAATAGAAAAATCCAACCGAAAATTCATATGGAATCTCAGGGCACCCTGAATAGTCAAAACAATCTTAAAAAAAGGAGAACAAAATTGGAGGAATCCGACTTCCTGATTTCAAAATCAGGAAGCTTCAGCTCAGAGACTTAATAAAATAGTGTGGCACTGATATAAAGACAGACATATAGATCACAGAATACAACAGAGATCCAGAAATAAAGCCTCAATTACATGATCAGATGACTTCAACAAGGGAGCCAAGACCATTCAATGGAGAAAGGACAGTCTTTTCAACTAACAGTGTGGGAAAACTAGATATCCACATGCAGAGGAATGAAGCTGGCCCATTGCTTTCCACCACATATAAAAATTAACTCAAAATGGACCACATTCTATAGGTCAGACCTAACACTATAAAACTCTTAGAAGGAAATATGATTTCTTGAATATGGCACAAAGAACACAGGTGAAAAAAAAAAGAAAAAATAGATAAATTGGACTTCACAAATTAAAAAACCTCGCTTCATCACAGGACACAATCAACTGAGTGAAAGGTGACCTATGGAATGGAAGAAAATAATTTGCAAATTATATATCAATTAGGGGTTCATATCCAGAGTATACAGAGAGCTCCTAAACTCAGCAACAACAACAAAAGCAAATAACCAGATTGAAAAATGGGCAAAGCACTTGAACAGCCATTTCTCCAAAGAAGATAAACAAATGGCCAATAAGCACATGAAAAGATACGCAACAGCATTAATCATTAGGGAAATGCAAATCAAAACTACAATCAGATACTCCCTCTATTAGATACTCCCTCTAATATCTATAAGAATGGCTACTATCAAAAAAACAGAAAACAAGTGCTGCAGAGGATATGGAGAAATCAGAACCCTTGTGCGTTGTTGACGGGAGGGTAAAATGATGCATCCACTGTCGAAAACGGTATGGGGAATATTTGAGAAATTGTACACAGAACACCATATGACCTATTAGTTCCAGGCTGTGACTGTTGATGGACCACATAAGGTGGTGTTCTGAGTCTCAGGTTCACATTCACACTACAGGGTCCTTGTGCTCCATGGGGCTGGAGCTTGTGATGACAGGTGTGGGTAACTCCACTGTGGAGGGAACAGAGAGGACATCGCCCTGTGTGGTACCTTGATTCCTCCTAGGCATCTTCAATCACAGTTGACATCTCTCACTTCTCAGCCAACCCGAACCCTTAAAAGAATAAGGCAAGTTTCTGTATCTCAAGAGAAATGCATGAGGATCAGAGTGCTCAGAGAACATGAGGCCGCCTGCTCCACGTCTGGGAGAAAGCACAGACTTTCTCAAGTGTCAGTATGTTAGCAGGGTTTGGTCTTAAAAAGACACAGGATGAGAGTCAGAGACCCCCCCACCTTCAAGCCTCTGCTGATTCTTCACTGACCAGTTGACAGCCTGGCCACCCAGGGATGATTCCTTCCCACTGCACACACCTCCATCACCTAGAGAGGTGTGTTTTCTCTGAGGCACCATTTTCAAGTTTCTCCTAGACATGGGTAATGGTGAGTCTGGGGTTTGAGCATAAATAACACATGAGGACCAGGAGCAAGTAGGGCAGTCAGGTGAGGACTCAGGCCTCAGGGTGAAGATGTGGATCACACCCTCCCAGGTGACTGGAACTGACATGAGCCAGTGACACATAAATGACAGAGAGAGTCCAAGGAATGATCCAGTATGGAGTGAGCGGACAGGCAGGAGCTGCCTGGCTTTGGCAGCAGAACTTGATCTCTCCCTGGTCTTTAATGTCTCCTCTGTCTCTGCTGAGGGCAGGTGTGGACGTGTGCAAATGCAGAAGGTCTGACTGATGGAAACGGGGGAGCCTGAACTGGCTGCAAATCTGGCCCTCGTGGACCATCTGTGTTTGGTGGTTATGAGACAGACTTTTGAGAAGAAGTTTAAAATCTCCCATATGGGAAAATTATGATTAATATCCCAGGGCCTCAGACCAACAGTGGGACGGAAATTTCCCTAGAGAGCAGTGCAAGGTCTGCCACATGGACCTCAGCTCCTGAGGGTCAGAGAACCCTCCCTGTGTGGCCAGAATTCCAAGGACTCTGCATCCAGTTTCCAATATCTAAAGATATCTGAGTCATTCATTCCTTCTTCCTTCACCATTCATTCCTTCTTTCTTCATCAAAAACAATTGCGAGTTTGTTACACGCGGGCCCTGTGCTGGCTGCAGGGGTAGAGTGAGGACTGAGACGGCAAAGTCCTTTCCTTTCTACTCCAGTGGGAGTGACCCCAACACATCAGGAAACAAATAAGTGGTGTCAAGTCCAGTGCAGGAAGGTTGATCATCCACCTGAGGGGGCGGCCTGGACAGACTCTGCACTGACTCTGTTCATGCAGCTAATTTAGCTCTAGAGTAAACGGGGATGAATTCTCCATTTGCTCTCGATCCCCAGACCAGAATGTCTCCCTCTGAGATGGGGACACCTACGAAGAAAGGATCTGAACTGACAGCTGGTCTAGGGGTCCACAGACAACTAATAAGGCCCCTGGTGGACAAGAGGACAGGGCTGTGACTGCAGACAGACCTCGTGTGACTGTTGTGCCACTTAACGGTCTATGTGACCCTGATTCAGTGACTATTTCTCCCTGTGCCTCAGTGTCCCCTCAGTGAAGTAGGATAAATATTTGGCTGTCAGGCTGTCAGTGAATTAACCTTAAAATATTCATAGTAGCTGACCTAAATCTTGGGAGCGAGAAGCTGCCCAAATAAATGGCATCTGTGATTGTTTGATTCCAAGAGATTATACCCGTGGGCCTGATCCCTGGTGGATGAGGACCTGCCAGCAGCATCTTCTCCCCTCTGCTTCTCCCCTGGGGGCACTGACCTTCCTCTGGAGTCTCCTAAGTCCCTCAGGGCAGTTGGCTAATGGCCTGGGGATCTTGTCCATCTGTGCTCTCCACGCTGAGTCTCAGGTGAAGTATCAGGCTCTGCCCCTGCCCAGATGTGGTGCTTGGGGTTGAGCCCTGGCTGGTCACCAGCTCAGGAGCCTGGGGACTTGGGGAGCCAGGAAATCCTTGCTCCCAGTCAGCCCCGCCCAGGAGGCCAAAACCCAACCTGGCACAGGCTCCCCAGGGTCACTGGAGTCAGGAGCCCTGGGACAGGGGTCTGTGCAGGAACTTCCCAGGCTAAGCTTCTCTGTGAGGGTCCCGGGGGCCCCTCAAGCCAGGCCCTGACTGAGCCCTGCAGGGTCATGGTCCCGGGGAGGGGCCCAGGGGGCTGGACTTAGACTGATCTCCCTGCTGGGTTACTCTCATCAGACTGGTCCTTCTCTCTGCAGGGGATGTCTGCAGGGGCTGGATTGCAGGAAAGGAACTCCAGTCTTTTGAAGTTTATCTCCACTGTCTGTGTCCTGCACTAAATGCTCAATCCCAACATGGGACATAATGCAAAGGGGGATGTAGGTACAGTCCAGGCCTCTCAATTGTGTGTGTGTGAAGCAGAATTCACTCCACCCAACACCTAGGAGTCAGAGAGGAATCACTCACTGTATACACAGAGCCATCCAGTTCCTACTTCAATTAGGAAGTCTTTCTTTATGATTTGTAGGGTGTAGTATCCTGTGTCCTTCTGGGTGACCTTCTTTAACTGCAGGGATCCATTGATGAATATCATCTCTCGACCACTGTATGCAGGCCCTCGGATATTTCCTGATCTACCTATTACAAATGTTGCAATTTGATGTTTGGGCTCTAGCGTGTCTCCTCTGTACCAGACATACGCTGCAGGATTCCTAGGCAGATTGTGGACAGCTAGAAGAACATCCTTCCCTTCGAGAGCATTGGACAGCAACAGTTCGATAAAAGGTTGGGCAGTGCTGGGCGAGTTCCAGAAGGTTAAGAGTGAGACTAGCAGGGAAGAGAGAGATATCGATCAATATTTGGACGTATGTACTGGGATGGAAAGATGAGGCCCTGGGGCCTGAGCAGGTCTCTTCATCTCTTAGACTTGGAGTCTGAGTGTGTGTGTGTGTGTGTGTGTGTGTGTGTGTGTGTGTCTACAGGTCAATGTCAACAGCATGACCACCATTACTCAGCCCCTCTGAACTTATTATTTCCTCTGTTCCCAACACTCTTCCCAGGTGTCTGCCCAGCTCACTCCCTCACTGCCCTCAGAGCCCTGCTCACTCTCAGGGGCATCCTTGGGAGATGTCTTCCCTGACCACCTGCTCTAAAGACCCTCTGTCTTCACTGTCTGACCTTTCCCTGCTCTGTTCCCTTCATGGCACTTGTCAGTCCCTGACATCACACTGGAGATCTCTTTGCTTGTCTGTCCTCCTCCCCACAGAATGTGAGCTTCGTCAAGGTAGGGACTTATCTGATCTAGTTGTACCCGCAGTGCCTGGAACAGGCTGAAAATGCCTGTGGATGAGTGATGAGTGTTCCCAGGGCCCTCCAGGTCCTGGTGTTTGTTTCCCTATTTCTAAGGGTAGTAGGCAACGATATTGTTTAGATTTCCCAGTTGTTTTTTCTAGGGTCATCCTCAAATAAATTGCTATTTTTATCATCAATTTTCAAAAAATATTCCTCAGTGATGATCAGGTTGCAAGGGCATAGCAATTGAGATACTCCTGCCCCTCACCACTTCCAGATCATGAGAATTTCCTGTTGCTGAGTCCCCTCCCCCTCTCCTATTCTGCTCCCATGTCCTCTCCCCTCAGGGCAACAGAAGTCCTCTGTCCACACTCAGAGCCCCGTGTTCCCCAGGAGACTCCAGCAGTTCCTGATCTCCCATCTACAGCCCTCCCTCAGGGAATCATCTCCTCTCACCTGCCAACAGGAGCCCCTTCCATGTGCTGCGCCCTCTGTGGGCAGTGGCTGAGGGGGGGCTCCATGGTGTCTACTGCCTGCTCTGTTCCTACCCTCTGTGAGAAGAGCTTCAGCTCCAGAAATTCTCACAAGCACTGCTGTCCAGATGCCTCAGCTCTGCTGTCCTTCCTCCCTCTGTGCTGGGCCTCCTCCAGGGGCAGGAGTGCTTAGCTGGGTCATGTGGGACCAGGAGTGGGGTCTCTGCCCAGGACCCTCCTCCTCCCTCCCCTCATTCCTGCCTCCCTCATCCCCTCCTTCCCCTTTCTTTTCTGTCTACTTTTTGGTTCCCTAGGAACTGCCAGGCCTCTTCCTCTTTATCTGTGATTCCCCCCATACACACACACACACACACACACACACACACACACACCTTTGTTTGGACAAGCACAATCTGGGGCATCCTGTGCTGAGCAGTCTCCACAGCGCAGGTTCTGGGTGCACCGTCAGCCTCCCTCTCTCTCAACCCCACTGGCCTTTCTCTTCAGGAAGATCCTGGGGCCCCACCAGGAACTCTTGTCACAGGGATGTCACCCCTGCTGGGCATCAGAATCCCCTGGGGAACTTTATAAAGATTATGAGTGTCCGGGTGACACCTTAGAAATGTCGTTTCAGCAGCAGTGCTGATAACATGGATGCCCTGCCAGCTCAGACCCCATGGTGTGAGGGGTGGGGCAGCCTCTCCCCATCTCCTGTGCACAGGGAGGGTCTGCAGATCCCGTTAAAATGTAAATTCTGACCCAGCAGGTGTGGGGCGGCCCCGAGAGTCTGCATCTAACAAGCTCTCAGGTGATGCTGATCACACTGGCCTGTGGGGCACACTTTCAACAGCAAGGCTGATGGGGACCCCTGTGCACTGAGAGGATGACCCACCTTCCCCCCAGCATTGGCCTCCACTGTGTCCTGGCCTTGGGGTCTGTCAGCACCACACAGAGACCCAAGGGTCTCCAAACCCAAGGGATTATTTCTGTTTGTGACACAGAAACACAGCTGGACACCAGGGTCTTCCCCGTGTCCTCAAATGCTCTGGGAAGGTTGGATTTACTTCCAGCAAGAAGGTCACAGGGATGACTCTGGGGATGAGAAAGGGGCAAGCTGAGTGATGACTGGTGAGGGGACCCGCCCTCCATCTCCAGGTGTCACCAGCCTGGCCTCTGCTTCCAGGGACAGACACCCAGCATGGGTGTCTCAGGAGCTGCAGTTCCCGGGTGTGAAGGAGGAGGTTTCCTGTGTGTCCTGGGTGTAGGACCGTGGTGGTGGGAGGTCAGGTGGCTGCGGCTCCCCAGTCCTCAGGGGAAGGTTTCAGGGACACCCTCCCTCTCTGTGTCTGTTGGCTGAGCTGTGGCCAGAGCCTGTCCTTGTGCTTCCTGACCATCCTGGGGGCCTCTGTCCTCGCCTGGCTGACTTTCCTGTGGTCCTTCCGCCTTCCATATATGTGGTGCTAGGTACGGAGTAGGGGCCTGCACAGGAACACCTGACAAAGCTGGGTGCTCAGAGGCCTCTAGAAGGAGTGGGTGGGACATTTCATGAAGGTAGGAAGGACCCAGAAGGGTCTGTTGGAGGGAGGGTTGGAAATCATGCCCCTTCTCCACCTCTTTAGCTAAAGCCACATTATTTCCTGTGTGTTGTCTGTGAGTCCCAATGTCGCCCCCTGGAGGCCATGAGGAGACCTGCAGCCAATGTCAGGGGCTGCACCAGGGATGCTGACCAGGTTCCAGAGGGTGTGAGCTGGCCCTGAGCCCTGGACAGAGGTGGGATCTGACCTCCAGGCTGCAGGGTTGGTCAACCCAGATCCTGGGCAGTGTGGGTCCCCAGGCTTCTCGACTCCATCCCAGTGTAGGGCGAGCCCAGGCAGAGGACAGACGATGTCCAGACGACTCCTGATCCAGTGTCTTGGGCTGCCTGGTGGATGTGCTACCTCAAGTGAGCTCTCTGACCTTGAGGTTCAAAGGAGGGGCCTGGTTAGGGGTCTCTTGAGGCTTTCAGATGAGGATGCTGGCCTCAGGGGCTGGTCCCCGAATGCCCTGTGTTTCCCCCATCACAGCACTGGGGCGCTGGACCAAAGTCATCTGTGTCCCTCTCTGATGTCTGCTCTGATGTGCTGCCCCCACAGGGCCCAGCAGCTGGGGCAGCTCCACGTGGAACTCAATGTGGGGATCCCATGGGTTCCTCTGTTAGGGGAGGGAAGGCCCCTGTGGGACCCTCAGCCCCTCTGAGATGGAAGCAAACACATATCCTGGTTCTCCTGTCCCGTCCTGGATGGGAAGTCCCTCTTGTTCCCTGGGATGCCTTGAGTTGGTGAGACGTCTTCAGGGGACCACAGCCAGGTGTCCCCACAGACCAAGGTCTTCTCCCATGCTGATATCAGTGCCCTGTGTCTACACAGAATGTGCTCTGACCCCCAGTGGCACATGGGGGTGTCAAGCCTTCTTATGTGCAGTTTCCCTCATCCATCTGATAAGTATTTACTG